CACACAGGCAAGAAAAATAATTTCCCACTGGGACAATAAAGTATCATGTCATCTGACCTGATACACATACAATAACACAAACACACACATATACACATAACACGCGCACACACACACACACACACACATACACACATACACACACACACACACATACACACACACACACATACACACACACATACACACACACACATACACACACAGACACACACACACACACATAGACACACACACACACACACCGGCGCGCTCGCACGCATGCACGTACGCGTGCACCTAAACCCCAGGTGGAAAAACCCCCCCACGAAAACGTCAGTATATAGCCCACAGTGAACAGGCAAAATACAAACAAAGTAAATGTTTATTGTTGTGGATCTTGAAGGTTTCAGGTTTCCTCAAGAGTGCTAGGCAGCCAGATCGTGCTCCGAGCTGTGAGAATGTAATCCTCGAAATCCGGGTTTTCAGAAACCTCAACAGACTTGCGTTCTAATATCCGCCAAGACTGTGAACCGTGACGTAATTCCGGTTCAACATGGAGTGCACCATTTGACTATTTGAAACTAAACGGCTGGCAAAAATGAAAACGTTGCGCTTGTAACGACTCGACTACAGCGAGATTTTATTATTGTAATTTTTTTTTTTTTTGAGAGAGAGAGAGAGAGAGAGAGAGAGAGAGAGAGAGAGAGAGAGAGAGAGAGAGAGCAACAAATGACGGCCATGACAGATACTACTTATACATATTATTATGTACACTGTATTATGATACAATCTATGACAGGCGCCTATAAGATAACATACAGATATTTTGTTGCGGATTTTCTCCATGGTTTTTAAAACCAAATGTGACTCGATTTCTTGGTGCCTATACTGCAGGTATATTGTATGTTCTCTTGATCATTTTGGATTCCAATGGAAGAGTTTTTATAGCAGAGATTAACGTGGGGCGGCCATGACAGAGCACAATATAGGATAATACATGACCAATGTATTACATTGTATTATCATACAATTTTATGACAGGCGCCTATTTTATAAAGACATCTTGCTGTGAATTGAATTTTTCTCCTATGTTTTTAAGTCTGTGACTAACTTTCTTGGTGCTTTACAGCATCATGTGTATTTTCCGGATCGTTTGGGATTACAAAAGAAAGATCTTATGGTCGAAAAGACGTACAGATAAATTATATTATTTATTTTTTAGAGATTTTTTTCATCAAAACAACTTCGGTTTCATTTTATTTTGGGGTTTACCCTTTTAGGGCTGTTTTAGATAGCAAGTCGTATTTTAGTGAGGCGTAATTCTCTTTCTTTTTCTCACGAGTGATGTTATGCAGTGAAAAAGTACTTGCACGCCGAGCAGGTCCGTGAAGAGCCCTGTTTTTTTTAAAAAGATCACACCGACATTCCAACCTTTGTCATTCACTCCATTGTTGAGAGTCCAGTCGACTACAAAACGTTCCAGAGACAATACCCCCCCCCCCCT